GCCGTAGGCAAGCCCTTGGTCATGATATCTGCAAATTATTGGGAAGTAGGAACGTGTAGAACACGAACATGGCCAAGAGCCACATGTTCCCGAACAAAATGAATATCTAACTCAATATGCTTGGACCGACGATGATGAACCAGGTTGGCGGAGAGGTAGACCACGGAGACGTTGTCGCAGTAGACCACCGTAGCACGGTCGACAGGACATGAGAGCTCCTGAAGCAGCTGGCGAAGCCAGGAGCACTCGGCGACGACGTTGGCCACAACACGATACTCAGCCTCAGCACCGGATCGAGAGACCATCGGCTGCCGCTTGGACGACCACGAGATGAGAGAGGGTCCAAGGAAGACACAGTAGCCCGAGGTGGAGTGACGAGTGTCGGAGCAGCCCGCCTAGTCAGCATTGAATTAGGTGGTGAGGACGATGTCGGTGGAGGCGTGAAGCGTGGCGCCGAGGTCCATAGTGCCACAAACATAGCGGAGAATCCGCTTGACAATGGCTCAATGAATGTCCTGAGGAGCATGCATGTGGAGACCCACTTGCTGGACGGCATACTGCATCTCCGGTCGAGTCAGAGTGAGGTACTGAAGAGATCCAACAATAGACCGGTAAAAGGCAGCATCCGAAGTAGGAGAACCATCCGTGGCAGAGAGCTTGGCCTTCGTATCAATAGGTGTAGCGGCGGCTTGCAGTTAAGCATGCCAGCACGATCCAGGAGCTCATGAGCGTACTTCCGCTGATGAAGAAAGAAGCCATCCGGACGTCGCACCACCTCAACACCGAGGAATTAGTGCAAAGGACCCAAGTCCTTGATGGTGAACTCAGCGCGGAGACGGGAAGTGAGCTGACTAAGAAGACCGGCCATACATACTGACAGGATGATGTTGTCAACATAAAGCAGCAAGTATGCCGTGTCAGAGCCTTGGAGATAGACAAAGAGTGATGCGTCCAGCAAGTTGAAAACCTTGCGCACATAAAGCTTGATCAGATTGGCAAGGTCCTCCGCAGTGGCGTAGCTGTAGGGTGGCCAGGGTGGTCCATGGACCACCCTGGAATTCAGCCCATTAATATACTACTTAGTCTGTAAAAAAAGAAAAAAAGAAAAGCAAGCCCAACTCAGCCCATGTACACGTGAAGGATTGGCTCGTTAGTCTCTGCGTCTGTGCGCTGATTGATCGACACGAGAAGACGTTCCTGATTCCCGCCGCCTCTTTCAGTTCGGGAACCCTAGCAGCGAGCGGCCATCGCCATCAGCCATCGCCTAGCAGCCCCCAGCGGGCATCCGCCGGCCTACATGGCACTCGTCGACGGCGACGGACTGGCGGCCGGGCGAAGGACACTTGCCGGCGGCGGCAAACAGGCAGCCGGCGAAGCACGCACAATCTAGTTTGGTTGAGAACCAGTTGTTCAGTTTTCCATCCTACTACTCCGATCTAAAGTAAGATTTTTGTTCTCTGTTAATTCATAAATTCAAAGTATAAATTTCTTGCTACGAGGATTTGAACAAGTTAAGCTGAGACCTGAGAGTGCAAGATTTAGTTTTATTTTTTACAATTAATAATTGATAAATACTAGAGTAGAACTTTCATGGTCTTGAGAAGGCGTTATCCCGACAAAAAGACGTGTTATCTTTTTTTATGCAAATTTAAGACATAACCATGAATTTTATATTATTTGAAAGACCTAGTTGATATATTCTATACGCATATGTTGGTTTGTTGAATTTGTGGTGCAATTATTTTTCTTGGCAATTGGACCACCCTGGCATAAAATCCTAGCTACGCCACTGGTCCTCCGCCTGACAGAAAGACACAAACTCAGATATCCGCTGCTTTTTTTAGATGCTATACCTAGATTCTAGCGAGACCGAGGAGGGAAGCTTCACCTGAAGAGGCGCGAGATGGTCGGCCCAGGCGCGCGGGAGGCCATAGCCTCGTTTCTTGTTTTTAAACATTTTTTTGCTTTCCTTTTATATTTTTGTTTATTTGTACTTCCAAATATTCTAAATAAACATATTACAAATAATACTTTACGTAAAAGATATAAAAAAAGTTAACAAGGCAATTGAAAATTATTAAATGCGTATAGAGAAAATGTTTCTCATGTATACAAGAAATATACACACAAAAAGTACAATGTGTGAAAAATGTTGACCATGCATTTAAAAAAATGTTAATCAAGAATTTTAATTTTTTTAATATTGTATCTGAAAATGTTAATCAAGCATTTGAAAATGTTAAGTGTGTATAGAAAAATGTTGACCATGTATTAAAAAATTAGAATTGTATTTGATAAAATGTTAATCAAGCATTTGAAGTTGTTGAATGTGTATAGAAAAAATGTTGACCGTATATTCAAAAATATTAACCAACCATTTGAAAATGTTAAAAGTGTGTATGGAAAAAATATTGACCATGAATTCAAATAAAAATTATCTTGTATTTTAAAATTATAAATCAAGCTAGCATTTGAAAAATTATCCTTGGACCAACTTATATGTCAAACAAGTAACTTGGTTGACAGTTACATTTGAAACATTGGAACCTCGGTGCTAGTTACAATCTCTCATCGGTAGTTTAATCTCATTTGATATTGCTATAACTCTAAAGCCGATAATAAATACTGTCTTTAATCCCTTAACTTTTTAGATGATAGTTCCTTTTTTTCACTAGTCAAACAACCCTGCTACAAGTGCTCTATTTGTACCAGTGAAAATGAAATGCACTTTATTTTGCCCCGTGCACACATGTGTACAGGAGGATCATGTGCACCGGGTGTCCAGAGAGCGAACGCTGGACCACGTGGGAACTGGGTAGGTTGATCATGGACACTTAGGTGATGGGTTTTGTAGATATTTTCAGGTGGTAGGGATAGGGTTCATGGTGTACAAGTTTAGCAAGATCTTATACTCTTCATTCAAGCATCTCGACCGCTCTTAACTATGTGTTGTTGAT